CTCTCAAATAGCTGAATACTGCTGTCACCCCTAATTCTTTAGAAAAAAAAACTTCCCATCTCTGCCAGAATTAAGGAGCTAATCCAATCTAGCTCTAGATTCAGGAATGATTCCATTACATCCTGATTCCGTAGCAGCCTGAGTCGTAAAGATTATGCTGGAGATAGTACTGAGGCAAAACACTTGTTTCATGATTTATGGCTTGTTGCAATAAAGGGCTAGTGCAGCCACAGCATATATTTATTTATATCACACCTTTATTATTTTTGTATAAAATTAATTCAAGGCACCAAACATGGCCAAACACACCTTCCTCCTCCTATTTTCCTCAGAACAACAACCCTGTGAGGTGAGTTGGGCTGAGAGAGTCACTGGCCTGAGGTCACCCAGCTAGTTTTCATATATTAGATGTTTTTAACAGTATACAGATAGTCCTTGACTTATGAACACAATTGAGATGTTTGTTAAGTGAGCTTTGCCCCATTCTACGACCTTTCTTGCCACAGCTGTTAAGTGAATCACTGCACTTGTTAAATTAGTAACATGGTTGTTTTAAGTGAATCTGGCTTCCCCATTAACTTTGCTGTTCAGAAGGCCACAAAAGGGAACCACATGACTCTGAGATATGGCAACCGTCCTAAATATGGGTCAGTTGCCAAGCATCTATCTGAATTTTTGATCACATAACCATGGGGATACCGTAATGGTTTTAAGTGTGAAAAAATGGGCATGAGCTACTTTTTAAGTGTCGATGTAACTTTAAATGGACACTAAACAAGCTGTTGTAAGTCAAGGACTACCTCTACAGCAATATTTCTCAACCTCAGCAACTTTAAGAAGGGTGGATTTCAATTCCCAGAATTCCCTAGTCAGCACAGGGAATTCTGGGAGTTGTTGAAGTTGAGAAACACTGGTACATGGCATTAATCTATTAGTTATTTTAACAATCTCCTGCTGTTTTACAAATCTGATTTACATCCTTCAGGAACACAAGTGTCTCTTCCTCCTATTTTTTTCCTGTAACAACCATCCTGTAAGGAATAGTTGCCTAGAGTGCTGAAATTTAGGTTAATTCTTTCTCAGCCTATCTCACTTTACACAACCATTTTCCTCTGATCTTATCGAAGGCACAGTGGGATATCACTCTTTGGTTTCACCTGTAAGGTTGGCTCAAACTGAAAGCTTCCTTTCTATTTATTTACATTAAAAGTGTGTTTTTTCCCTACATTTCTCCTTTGAAGTACATACACATTACTGAAATGGTTTATGGGGTATGAAAGAATATAAAATTGAAAACCTTTTTAAAAGGATGTTGAAAACCATTTCTAAAAATAAAGTGTAATGAAATCTATAAAGCAGACAGGGGAAAAAAACTATTCTCTTTACCTTTGAGTTTACCTTTGGTTCTTCCTCAACCTCATTTACTTCACAGAGCCTTTGTATGGGAAAATGTGAAAGTAAATCACATGAGGCACTCCTCAGAGGTGTCTGGAAAGAGAAGATAAAACGGGGCTTCTGTAAATGCAGATTAAGCATTTCTTCACTTTTCATAAAGTTAACTATATTGGGCTGACTCTACAAGTTAATGTATTTATTGATATGTCACAATCAATTTGGTGTTCTAAAGATCCCCCCTTTTTCCATACATAAAACTCCCTTTATGACTCTAATTCCTCAATTAGGTGTAGAGTGGGGCAACTGGATAAAACTGAGCATTTACTGGCTAGAATGCCCTTCCTGAAGCTACACAGAGTATTAATTTTATTAAAAGTTTTAGAAGAGAAAAATTAACACCAAGACAGAATAAAGAAAACATAAAAAAGCAAAAGGTCAGGGGAAAAAAGAGACAAAAAGAATTAGAAAGAGGAAGCTTCTGATTTCCTTTGCAACAAATACAATTAGAAAATTCTCTCTTTCTCTGTGGTGTATTTCTTGACTGCTTGTAAAGGAAAGAATAATTTAAAATGAAGTGGGGCGCAATGTAACAGATATTTATCAGATTATGTACAAGGTAGGAAACTAGGCTGAGAGGCCATTTTGTCTATCTGTCATACTAGAATTCCTGGTCTTATTTCAAAAGAAATCCCTCAAAAGCATTCCCCAATATCACACTCTGAAAGCAGGTTGCAGTTCTCAATCTCAATAACATTCTCATCATTATAGTTGCTGCCATCCAACACGTCCCAAGGATACAAATAATGCTGTAATGTGCTTACTCCAAAGTAACCCATTAAATTTAGTAATTTACTTCCAAAAAAGCAAATAAGATTATTAAAATGGTGGAGTTTCTCAGGTCACAGCTGCATCCAAGTTGCAAAAACTGAGTCAAAAGTTGAAGTTTAGGATTTCTGAGCTCACCCAGACCGCGTTTCCCTTATTTATGCAAATAAAAATATAAATTAATACTGCAGGTATAAGTGACAAAAGGAATCAAGAAAGGGGGTGGCGGAGAAGGCAGGGAAATTATAAATAACAGCTGCAACAATTTGGACCCAATTGCTCAAAAAAAAATCTTCCTGGTCCCTTTGTGAAACAAACTTAATTCAAAGGTCTATAAGCATAATATTTTTTTTAAAGTGATGGATTGTGGAGAGATTCCACAAATCCTACTGAAATTGCACAGCACTGTATTCAAGCTGTACATTTCTTCCAATAATCACACATAAGATCCAGAGCTTTGGGATGGCAGTGCTTGTACAGATGAGACCCTACCTATTGATTCAAGTTTATGAATTTTCCATTTAAAATTGAAGAAAAAGTCTCTGTAGCATTTGTTATTTTCTTGCATACTTTCATAATTTTATAAGCTACCGCCATATTTATTATTAGCCTCTTGGGTTTTCTTCTGTGATACAAACATTATGGAATGCAAAGCAGTAGGATCCCAAACAATAAAGCTGCTATTTTATTCGTTTTCACTTGGGAGAAAGAATGATTGAACTCAGCAGAGCTTACATCCTAGAAAAAAAAAAATATACAACTTAATTTTAAGGCTGTGACCTTATTAAAGTTGCCTGGACAGTATAAAGCTCCAGAGAAGGCTGTAATGCTTACTTGTGAATAAACGATTTAGAATTATGCTAAATTCCAACTTTAGAATTACCTTGTAAATAGGTAAGGTTACACACCGGTGAATTGCATTGCAAAAAACACAGATCTGCATAAGATTGCAGCTGAAATATCCCATTCCTAAACACAGTTAGATACTAGCAAGGGTTCTTTCTAACACTTTCTAGTTCCATTGACCTAAATAGGTTTTAATTTTGAATATATTTTGGATGGGGTCATAAGTAAATGGGAACAGAGATGAGCACAGCCCTCTAAGGTTAGCAACTACCAGTCGCAGGGACTCCTTTACCTATAAGTAAATTAACAATAGTATAAAGAAGAGAGAAAATAAAGCTTCTTAAAGGGAGGTAGAACTGAGTAAGATGCAGTTAACTGTTTGGGTTACCTTAATTGCATAATCTCAGGGTTTGAGACATCTATAATCAAGGTTTATAAATTATCTCATATATATATACATATGAGATAATTTATAAACCTTGATTAAATTAGGGAACCCCAGTCTCTGCAACAATTAATATGGCCTAGGCAAACCAGATCTAAATATCCACAGCTGTGACATTTTGGACCAACTACCAATTCTTAACCAGCCTCCCTGAAATAGTTGAGAGGTTAGAATACACTCTACTACATTAACTTGATCTCAATGGGAAATTGCAGGCATAAATATAAGCAAATTGTTGGGGGAGGGGAGATGTTTTTATTCGTTGTTGTGAGCTGCCTAGATATGATACACATGGCCACAGATTGGAAGTCCTGTAAATAAGTAAAAGGAAACTCCTTCCAAATAAACCAGCCCTTGTTACTGCTTTCAAAGCTATAAGTTGCCCTCCCCTACCTTCTTCTCACTCTTAAGGTTCTTTCTCTTTTGGACTGCAGCATAAAAGGCAGTTATCCAACAGATGCAGCCCCTTCCCCCTCTGGAAAAGCTCCAAGCCCAATTGGAAAAGCCTCATTTATGCATCTATTATACCCTTAGTGCATGGAAAGAAAGCACCCCTTCCTCTCTCAGGGACCCCAAGAGCTGGATCACCCCCTAACTTCTCCCTGGATTGAGGCCCTCGGTGGCCCCTTTGCCCCCCTACCCTTCCTCCCTTGGCTTTGAAGCCATCCTTGGGACTGCCCCCATCCTCTCCAGCCTAGATTTCCCTCAGGGCAGCCCAAGATCTCTTGTGCAAGGATGGCAGTGGGGTGTGTGTGTGTGTGTGTGTCTCCCTGGATCCCACCCTTGACTGGGCTTTGAAGAGGCCCACCTGGGAGGCATCCGCAGGCTGGGCCGGACCCCTGAGCTGGGAAGGCCCGGGGCCTTTCTTGGCCAATACCTGGAGGAGAGGTGGGGCCAGGGCCACTTTAAGCAGGAGGGCGGGTCCCTTCCAGGAGGGTTTCGACCCTTCCAGCTGTCCTGGTGCAAGCAATCTCCACTCTGCGGGGCGGTGGGGCTCCCTGCTCGGCCTTTGGGGGAGTTTGTTGGACGTTGCCCCGGCTCTGGCTCGCCTCTTGGGCTAAGGACAGAGGCTCAGCCCTCTCCCCCTTGGACTTGACTTCTCCTGCAAGGATCGGGGTCCCGTCTTGGGACGGCGCCCTGAGCCTTTCTCTCTCGAGAGCTTTTCTGAGTTGCAGGGACGGGACAGCGGGGGCGGCCGCTGCATCCTCCGTCGCCCCTTTGCTCCCTGCCGCTCTCCCCAAACATTGGGTCGGAAGGGGGGGGGTCTCCCCATTGCTACCCTCGAAGAAGCAAAGCTGACCAGCTGAGCCGTCCAGGGAAGGAGAGCTTGGATGCTTTTAACAACCTCCCCGCTTGCTCCCATCTCTTCCTTCCTTGCTCAACCCAACCCGTCCGAGGGATATTTTCGGCCTCCCCCCAATTTCTTCCCGGGGGCATCTCGGCTTAACTTTCCGAGCAAAGCAGGGTCTCCTTTCTAGCCCGGTCACCCATGGCGGGGCCCTTGCGACGAGAGCTAGGCCGCTCCTCCTACCCTTTCCCGGTGCAAAGCCTGCACCTCGGCAACCTCCCGGCTGTTCCCCAGCACGAAACCACCTCGCCTGGCTTCTTGCCCGAAGCCTTCAGCGCCGGGGCCACTGCCGGGCAGGCCTTTGGCTTCAAGCCCGATTACGGCCCCCACCAGGGAGGGATCGGGGAGCCCTATCCCGGCGGGGGCGAAATGCCTCGCACCTGGTACCCCTTCCCTGCCGCGGGGGAGGCCTGGAGCCACCCTCCCGGGATCCTGGTAAACCCTTATGCCCTCGCTCAGTCCGGAGAAGCCTGCCAGGCTTCCAAGGCCGAGATCAAAGTCGAGCGTGACTTCGAGCAAGCGGGCCCCTATTACGGAGGGCATCCCTGGGCCGGTGGGTGTCTGGTCCCTTCGGTCCCTCCGGCCCAGGCCCGTCCGGCTTCTTGCAACAACCACACCAAGGAAGCCGCTTCGCCCAATCCGGATTCCGAGCCTTCCAGCAGCCCCACCAGCCAGCCCGAACAGGTGGGCAGCGCGGAGAACAGTCCCCGGACCGATGCTAGTCCAACCCCCAGCGAGCAGATGGCCTCGGAGGAAGCGAAAGATGAAGAGGGCAGTGAAGAAGAGGTAGGATTGGCGTTTTGCAACGCGCTTCTCAAAGTGGAGTTATAGTGTAAGATTAAGAAATTAGCAGCTTTTAAAAATGGACCAGGACACAGTTGAAGATCATAGTATAATAGGACTGCATTGATATTATACTTCTCATCTTCTACTCTTTCCTACTGCTTCTATTGGTATCTATGATATTGATATTCCATCACTTTGTTGCTTGTATGGATATGCACTTATCTTAGCTTATGCACTGGAGACAAATTCCTTGTGTGTCCAATCACACACAGCCAATAAAGAATAATTGTGTCTTTTTTTTTTTGAGTTGCTCATTTTCCTTACAGGATGCTAAAGGTTGCTTTTAAAACTTGCTGGTTGGGATGGGAAGGCATTCCTAGATGTTCTTTTTTTCTTCTTTTTCATTGCATCTCATCCCATCCAGCTGTGGTGTTGCAATCCTGCGGAAGAGCCCCCCTTTTTCCCCTTCATTCACATAACAACCCTGGGTTTGATCTGTTTGGGTGTAGTGTCTGTTTTAGCAGAGCATTTTAGCGGAAGATTTTAGCAAAGGGTTTTAGCATTTGTATCTGCTTGAGGCTTTGGAGACTGTTAGGCAAATGTGGGGAGCAAATGAAGGATTGAGGAATTGTATGAAGTGGTTTGGGACTTCACATGTTTGGAGATTCTCAGTTATCCAGGTCACGGTTGTCCCAAAGGTGGTTTTTCCAACTGGACTTTCTTGTGTTTTTTTCTTTGAAAATATTTCGCTTTCTCATCCAAAAACCTGCTTGGATGAAAAGCGAAAATGTTTTCAAAGGAAAAAAACCAAGAAAGTCCAGTTGCCTTTTGGAACAAATACCTTTGGCTCTGGGACTTCACATTTATTATGGAGTGGCTGGCTTCTGGCTGTGCATTATTGTTGCTGGGTAGGACAAAATGTGATAAAACATGATCTCTGTTGGGACTCCTTGATAAGTATTATGGATACCATTTCCAAGCTGGTAAAAACTGTTAAAGTTGGAGTCCTTTAAGTCTCTGGAAGATTTGCAATTAGGGTTTTAGATCCCAGCTCAGCAAAAATAGTACTATGTCCTGCTACCATTTCATGATTGTAACCATAAAGAAAGCAATTTTTCCCCCCCAGGTGGTGCTTTTTTGGTCATGTTTGAATGAGAATCTCTAAGTTTATATTGAAACATAAATAAGTGGTTGGGTTTGCAAGACTGAAACGCAAATTAGCTAACTCTGTCTTAGCTTGTTATATATTGTGAACCAGGACTGTAGAATTAGTTTGTAGCTCAATGACTGTCTTCTAACCTGGTTTCTTAATTAGCCAGTTTGGGTTTTGTCCAAAACACTGAATCTTAGTTGCCAGTGGTTCTACATAACATGCTAAATCACAAATCTCTTCACTGAGTTGAATACTAACCAAGCTGACCATGGTATCTGTGTTTGGTGATAACACTATGAGATGTTTTTAGGATGGGTCTTCTGTAAATCTGTATTTTGGGGGTTTTTCTTCAATCCCACACCCACCTGTTCAATATATACATTAGAAACATATATAATGGGAAAGTGGATGTTGTGGAATTTGGAAAAAAATGAAATTGAAAAAAAAATCGATCCAGGTTCATAATTTATACACTGGAAATGGAAGCTCATGAAAGCTCAGGCTATAATGCACAATTACTTTAAGGTGTCACAAATTAGAAGCAGGCAGAAATTATGAGAGTTGTGATTACTGAGATTCAAGTTGAAAAAAGGTAGTTTTAGTTTCCCCCTTTAAAAAAATCCATCAGCTGTTTCTTTACACCCTTGAACTTTTGGAGATAAAGCTCTAAATAGCCCTCTTTCTTTTAAAAGTAATTACATAGCAAAACTGTGTCGGATTACTCCATCAAGTATCCTGTGCCTTAGTTGTTGAGAAAGGATGTAAAAGCCAACAGCTTCCCATTTTTCCCCATTCAAGAACTAGTATTCAGATTCTACTGCCCTGGTGGATTAACGGTGATTAATTAGTGCCAGGATGTGTTTAATGTTACAAACAGCTTTGAGGTTTTTTTTAATGAGAAGCAGCATATAAAAATGTTAATTAAGGTCCATAAAATCATTGCCCCTCCTAATCCCAACAGCTACTGTTAGAAGTCAACTAATAAAATCAATTACAGAGAGTGTCAAGAAGCCGGGCTTGAGTGGCAGAGCTTATAACTTCTGAAGTAAGAGAAAATATTTTTCTTAATAAATTCCTGGAGAATTTAGAGAAAGTTATTTTCTTCTTCTAACCTCTATTGGGCTTTAAGTTTCCAATGGAACTGAAGACTTAACTACCTTTAGAAATTGTGGAGAATATCCCGTAGGTCACGTTGTAGATTTAGACAGAGGTGAGTTTACTGCTTGACTCCCAAACTCCCTACTTTACCAAACTAGGTAACATCTTCAGCGGCGTTTTGGGTGAAGTGTCTTGTTATTTCATACAGGTACCATATAAAGGAGAATATTTGTAGCTCAGGGTTGACATGAGGGGTCCTTGGTGCTTTCTGAGCTTGATTATTTTCTTGGCAAATGTTTCATTACCCAAACTAGGTAGATGTTACCTAGTTTGGGTAATGAAACATCTATGAGAAAACAAGCACGCTCTTGAGAGGATCAAGGACCCATCATTTATATAGGTCCTGGGCAGCCAGTTGATCTTGTAACTGGTTGAATCACAAGACTGAGCAACCATCCAGGACCTATATAAATGAACAAGATACTTCACCCCAAATCCGACTGAAGATGTTACCCATTTTGATAAGGAACCATCCAGGAGCCAAGTGGCAAACTCTGAGGACAAACCTCTGCCTAAAACTCTTAGCTACCTTTTAAAACTAAAAAGCTCCTTTAAGATTTCCTCTTAGGAAATATGCTCAGTTGACTTGGATTTCTTGATTAATTGCTTCTTCTTTTGTGTGTCCCAGCTGTTTTTTCCTCAGCCAAGTTAGCTGGATTTATTCAATTGATCAGTGAATAAGCTATACATCAATCTCTAGTTGATTGAGTTAGCCTAACCTGGCATGTCAAAACAAAACCAAAAGCCATCGTGTGAATATGAAAACTATGGTGCTCTGGGCCACCTTTTAGGCTTTATAGTGGGTATAAAACCACACTGTAAAATGAGTTACAATTCTTCTGATTTGCTTCTAAAATTCAGAGACTGCAGCAAGGGGTGGGGTTTCCCCCTCCCCAAGCAGACTGATAAAAGTTTTAGCTTAAGGGTCTTCAAACTTGACAAGTTTAAGACTTGTGGACTTTTAACTCCCAGAATTCCTGAGCTAACACGAGAAATTCTGGGAGTTGAAGTCCACAAGTCTTAAAAGCTATCAAGTTTGAAGACCCCTGTATTTATCTTTTATACTGTTCTGCATATCAGCTGTGACAAAAAACCCTTTTTTGCTAACAGACAGGATCCCATCAATGTCCCCCAACCTGGTGCCCCACAGGCTGGTGGTGGAGGGAATTATGGGAGGTTTTGACATGACTGTGATTTGTTCATAGTTTATGACATCTGTATTACACAGCAAGATGTGAAATCCGTGCCAGTTTTGCAACAAGCTAGCCATGCGGTACAGGTAGTCTTCAACATACAACCACAACTGAGCCCACCAAAGTTTTATGTTGCAAAATTTACGTTGAAATGTGGTACATGAGTTTTGCCCCATTTTACAACTTTTCTTGCCACAGTTGTTAAGTGAATCAACGTGGTTGTTAAATTAGTAACCTGGTTGTTAAGTGAATCTGTCTTCCCCGTTGACTTGGGCTTGTCAGAAGGTCACAGAAGGGGATCTCATGACCCGAGACACTCCAACCAACTGTCATAAATATGAATCAGATGCCAAATATCTGTATTTCGATCACATGACCACGGGGATGTCACAATGGTTATAAGTATGAAACCTGGTCATGTGTCACTTTTTTCAGTGCCATTGAACAGTCACTAAATGGACTGTTGTAAGTCAAGGATTACCTGTTTAGCATTGTTGTCACATGGTGACATTGCTCTCAGTATCTCAATAATTATTACCAAGATAGTTACCAAGACAAATTCCTTGTGTGTCTAATCACACTTGGCCAATAAAGAATTCATTCATTCATTATTGTTGAGTTTGTGTGTGTGTGTGTGTGTGTGTATTTTCTTGGACTTCTCCAATCCTCTCCTTAAAAAACATCCACAATGATGACCATCACCACCCAATGGCTGTGAATTTCATACCAGGCATGGCATAAAAATTATTCTGCTCATTGATCCTGAATCACCGAATATTTCATTTCAATGGGTGACACAGAATTCTAACACTGGGAGGAATAAAACATTTCTGTTTTCTATATCATTCATTGATTTCGTATTACCCCCTCACATCCTGGACATAAATGGTTTCCACTTCTACCCTCAAAATTATGCTTTGGGGCTCTGCACATCAGAATAACAAGACGCAAGGACAGTTTTTGACCAAATGCCATCACTCTGCTAAACAACTAATTCCCACAACACTGTCAAACTATTTAGCAAGACTGTATTACTATTATTCTTCTCATCCTTACTAGTACCTACCTCTTCCCACTTATGACTATATCCATGTTGCTTGTATCTTTACAACTTTTTATTGTTTCCTAATATGATTTGATTGCTTATTAGTAACCTATTCTTGACTCTTGATGAATGTATCTTTTCTTTTATGTACACTGAAAGCATTTGCACCAAGACAAATTCCTTGTGTGTCCAATCACACTTGGCCAACAAAGAATTCTATGACTATTACTAAATGTTGTATCTTATGATTCTTGAATATATTTTATCTTTTTCTTTATGTACACTGACAGCATATGCACCAAAGACAAATTCCTTGTGTGTCCAATCATCCTTGGCCAATAAAGAATTCTGTTCTATTAAGCTATCGAAGTTTGTTTTTTTTTAAGCCAGAGAAAACACACAATTGTTGTAGCCTTTCCATATAGGACAACCTTTCTAACTGTCTCATTCA